AGGTAAATTCGGAATAAGAATTAACATGTATAGATAAAAGGTAATGTAGAGATAAATATGTCTGTAACCATTTTACATTATAAACGTTTTGTTGGTTCTTTGTATCTTGTGATGATTTTACTATTGACTAAAATAATTCAAGTTGCATGAATAAATAATACCCGATGTTTGAACTTAGTTATGATAAGATGAAAGTGGTAAATCGATTGATGATTTTATTAGATATTTGATGACTGAGATATATATTACGCTGGTCAAATCACTGCATACTTCATTGAGTAGTCCTAGTTTGTATGGTATTAGGTCATAAGAATATTGTCAGTATTCAGGCCAAGATATGACATCAGTCTATGTAGCCCATCAACTATTAGTCGGTACTGTATTGATATATTATTACAATTATCTGATTATACTCCATATGATTAACTTTTAGAAACTGTAGGTCATTCGGAGTAGCGCAAATGTAGCTATTTAGAATCTTCCCTAAATTCTATTTTGAATACCATATTAAATTTCTTTTACTATTTAATTTGACTTCTTTTTTTTCAGTCACATTTTCTATGTTTAGTTCACTTGACCATCACTGACTACCATTACATCAATGTTTCGCCATCTTTCTTGTTAAATTTACCTCACTTTATTAATGCAGTGTGACAATGTAGTTCAAACACATTTGTTCTAGGCCTTACATTCATTGTGACTGATTGAACAGACAAAATGTTTCCTTTATGTTTAGTGACCCTCTGGATTCGATGATCGTTGCCTCTGAAGCATTATTGAAATCCAGTGACAACACTTTATTATGACATATTATGAAACGGTGATATGAAAGTTGTATAGGATTGGGATCTGTTGCTTCTTCACTATTCTCCATTTGGATCCTAGACATCGTACAACTCAATAACGTGTAACATTATCAGACAAGGCTTAGCATAGAAGCTAATGACGATATTACATTACTTATAAAATTGAAGTTGTGTCCTATAACTAAGGTAAATCTTTATTGATGGTAAAACTCTTCCGTCTTCTTTCTCTGCACAATATTATCATTTCCTGTGTGTGGCTATATGTAAATCTTTATATGTGATCGATAAAAGTCTGTGACAAAAACTATCATTAAACTACAAGAATTCCTCTTCACATTACACTATAGTATATGTTTGGCTGAATGTTTTCAATAATGATCTACGAAAACTTCAAGTTGTATGTTATAATCGTTACATATATTAAGCAATTTCATTTTGTAAACATGAAAAGAAATATTTATATATAATTATATGTTTATTAAGTGAGACTGAATAAAACGTTGACTTTTGAAGCTAAAGATACTGGATTTGAATCTTAATGTGAACATTAATACAAGGATCCAGATGATGCGAAGAAAGTTGGAGGTTTCCAAAGCAAAGCCTAACCTTGGTCTCTGGAGTCATTGGTTGTTGATCTGAATATTGGTAGACGCGAGCTACATTGGTAGATAAATGGGTACAGTAACAGTTAGAGATGCTGATTAATAATCAGTCAATGGTGCAGATGAATTCACTGTTCATCTTTCCCTGGATCTTGAGCTGTAGTATTCCTTCATACACTTCTCACTTTCTCGAACCGTCTTTTCAGTGTTTAGTCTTTATCATTATCATTGTTCTTACATTATTTCAATTTGTTCAACTTTCATCTTATCGTACTAATGGGGTACAGCAACTTAGCGCCCAAATGCCCTGGTACGGCCAAGAGTGGGGAGAGTCCGCTCTCCCTCTCTGCAAATCCTCTCAAATGGCCACGCGTATATAGCCTCTGCCAGGGAAGTCATACTCACTGCATTCTCGCACCACAGGTGTTGTTTACGAAATTGAGAGTATGAAAAGAGAATGCCCGTCAGGCGCTTCAACCGAATTGGTGGACATGGAGAGTCCACCTAGGGGAGTTGGAAAACCCTGATTCCAAACCAATGGTGCACATGGGCTCCAGTATCCTGAAGGAACAAATGGCGTATAAACCAATCGTTGGTTACCGGCTACCATGGAACTGCATCTCCTTACGATGGCTCCACTGCCTTGTGGATCAGACCTTTATGTAGAAGGCTCTGTGTGTGGACCCCTATGAAAACCACCTGCTTCGGTTTAGGCACCCAGGCAGTATCACAGCCCTCACACATATCAAATGAGATTTGTGTGGCGCATATGTGTTTGGTGCCTCGTTGTACCAATATCTATGTGTTAAAATAAATAAAATATAATAAGTAACTGATCTCCAACATAGCAACTGAACATTTCACAGAAATCTGGCCTGAGTGTTACACAATGTAACCATCTCAATCGGTTCAGATTTAGAAATCCATCAATCGCAACTCATTCACATTACTTGGAATCAAGTATACAATCTTAATATTATCAACTCAGTGAGTAATAATATCAAAACGCAATTGATTTATTATCCTGAACATCAATGGGAAGATTTAAACAACCAATACAAAACTGAATCAAACTTCACTGCTCTTAATTGCTAAATAGGGAACGCGATATTGTTTGAAGCTAGCGATACTGAGTTTTAGTCCCGGAGTGTATATCAACTTTCGGATACAAGTATATCCAGGTGAAGAGTCACAAATAGAACGAAGTGATGTGTGTTCTGAATTCCACTGCTAGCCATTATCCATCTCTACTTATATATGTATAAAGGGCTAACTCTTACAATGTTTACTTATCCTTTGATTTTACCGATGTCTCAAGTGATGTAAGAAAAAAATAAGAAATTCCAAATGACTCGTCTGTTTTTTTTATTTTAAAAAAATTTGCCCAAACTAGATTCTTTAAACAGTTTCTTTAATGTGTATATGTACGTGTGTGTGTGTGTGTGTGTGTCTGTTTCCTTTTCAGTTATAATAATAACAGTTTAGTGTCTCGATGAAGCGGAATACAGTTGCTTATAGCAACGGTAAAAATTAAAGTGTACTTCCTACTACTTTGCTTCTTTCATTATTCATTATCTTTATACTAAATCGAGATAAGGTGGAGATAAGGAAAGAGTTTTTTTTCTATTAAAAAAAATAGACTAATCAGTCAATGTTAACATTAGTTAAGTGAAATAATTTATTAATTATTGTTGCCTAGGTAGTATTTAATATCTAATCCACCTAATATCTATCACATTCTCTTATCCCCCCCTTTCATATTTCTATATTTAAAAAATTTATTCCCCAATTAATGAGTATGTTTTTTTTTAAAAAAATATTCAATTCTTTTTACCTTAGTTACAAAAGCAGTTTTTTTTTTTAGAAAATTATTGATTTGTAAACTGATCACTATGTAATATGGAATAATAATAATATGTTTTTGTGAGTTAGGGATGTGATTTGTATACTTTTAATGACATTTTATTTTCTTGAGTTAGATGGTTAGTTCAATTGTGAAACTATCATAGTAACACACAGGACAACATGATTAACATCTATTTTGTATAGAAGTTAGTTATTCCTTAAATATTAGATGAATTTGTTCCGATGTCCTTGTTTGTAACGGATGGTTTTCATAGATCTTATTTTCTATTTTGCTTTATATTTCTATTTTATTGACCATTGACCATGTGATTGATCTTTTTCTTATAGGTTTATAGATCTACATCGATGTGTCTATTGACTAGGGATTGATTTGAATGATGTTCTTAGAATGTTCTCGATCCTATGGTCCTACTTTTTCCCAATTGAATTCATGTCTTCAGTTTTCTACCTGCGTTGATATCAGTGGTAAAATATTGTGTCATTTGACTTCAAACTTTTGGTTGTATATACTTAAATGAAACGGGCGTCCATCTTATCCAATGTAACATTTCTTGTAGTTAGTATAATTTATTTGTAGATGATATTGGATTTGTCCACTTTTGCTGTTGGCTTTTAATCTTCATAATATGGAATAAAGTTATCCCGTTAGTTTGTAAGCGACATTGATAAAAAAAAACAAGTTTCAGAATTCTTCTAATAGTTTCAAAGATATTTTACACATATGGTGGAATGATCTGTATTTTTGGTTCCCGATGTTGATTTTTTTTAATGGTATACAGATTAACCAGACACCTTTTGATGAATTTTCTGTGGTAGCCATTTTTATAGGCAACAGATAGATAGGTTTCCTTAATTCTTCGTGTAGCGACGGTGCTCAAAATGGTTTTGACTTTTCTGTGCTGTTCGATTGTCACTGTTGTAGCCAAGTATTTGGTCCATATGACTTGGCTTTATGTATACTTGTGTTTCTAAAGTTACCTGTATTCGTTCTGTTGATTAAGACATATGAAAAAGATATCTTATTTTTTGAATTTTCATTTCTTATAAATTCGATCTCGTCAAAGATGTTGTTAGGCAACTTATGATTATTTTCGAATTCGTCTCTCTTCAGAATAATGAATGCATCATCTACATAACATATCCAATTTTTCGGTATGGTGATTCATGAAGATTATAGCATTTTCAGAGTTGAATTCACGAGTCGATCTAAGCTTATTTGTCTAGAGTTTAAGCGTCCTTGCTCGGGATCTTAGGTGAGCACTACTGATGAGTCCTGTACACTAGGATGAAATGGCCACTGAATGTTTCCATGTTTTCAATGGTGGTCTAGCTTAGATTGAATCGTGAATTCAAATTTGATACTACTCAAAATCGTTTGCAATGGCGCAGGTGCATCCACTCTTTGTGTTCTCCCAAATTCTAATCTTCTGAATTCTTCATGTCCCTTTTTTCCTCTTTCCAAATTTATTTCACTGGATTATACTCTTTAAATAACATCTCCAAACCCTAATCTTCCCGATTACTGCTTATACTCTTGCTACCTCTACCACTACGGGATTTGAATCGACAACTGCATCTCTGTACTAATGTGGTGTGGCAACTCGAACTGATGTACGTACGTACGTACGAAGTTCTACGTTGTTACTGACTGACTGACTGAATTTGATACTAAATACTACTTATTCACTGATATTTTTTACTGTTTTTTTATTCATTTCTCTTTCAGTGTATAAAATATGAAACAATTTTATCAAATATGCAAGCTCAATTAACATGTGTCATTGAAGAACGAGATATGTTAGCTAATCAATTAAATGAGTTGACTGAAACTAATAAATCATTACTTCCTAATTCCACAATACAAACATCGACAATAGTCACTGAAAGTGTTTCATCATCTTTACCAGTATCGACACCAACAGTATCAACAATATCAGAAATAGTAGGATTAAAATCATGTTCTATATCACATCCAATTATGGGTTTAAATCGATCTGTTCAAATGAAATCCAATAATAATAATAATAATAATAATAATAATAATAATAATAATAATAATAATAATAATAATAATAATAGTAATTTATCATATCCTCCAACATCCTCTCTTCCGACTCCTTCTTCAACAACAGGATTTTCAGTATCTAAACAACAAACAAATGTAGATAACAATATTATTAACCAATTACATAAGGTGAGTGAAATATATGCGTGTGTGTGTGTGTGTGTGCTTATTTTCCATTTTCGTCAAGCATATATGTATGGTGTACAATGTATAACAGTTACCATGTACATAATTGATTTCATAACATCCAATAACACATAATTAGTCTATGACCTGTCAGTTGTATTTACTGACAATGACATCGTCATAATCCATAATTGAATAATATTGTAAGATGGTAGCTATTAATTACATACTACCTGAATTGAGTCATTGGGTGGGGTGATATGAGTTAAAATCAGTCGAAATAATGGAGATACATGTATTCTTTATCTTTCCCCTAGATATTAAGTTGTAAGATTATCTTATACATTCTATTAATCAATTTCATTCTTTTCTCTTGAATCATATTGTCTATTCTTAATATTTTCTACTATCACTGATACTGTTATAACTTTTATTAACCCAGTATTTATCTTAATAGTTTAATTGCATTATCCTGATATGATGTGATAGATTGAATCGATACACATATGTACCATATTCTTAGTAAAGATGGATAGTGGCTAGCAGTAGAATACAGGACGCACGTTTCGTTCTATTTGGGACTCGTCAGATGGATTTGAGTGCATCTCAGACTTGTTAATGTTCACCCTGGGACTCGAACCCAGTACTGTTCACTTAGATGCAGGCACATCCAGCTGACTAGTCCCAAATAGGATGAAACGCCCGCCAAACTCGATTCCACTGCTAGTCTCTATCAATCTTTGTTTATAATACTTGTGAATTAAGGCAATATCGAGGCAATACGCATAGTATGCACATATGTCAATAAGAGACTGATCAATTGCAATCCTAAATATCAATGAGAAGATTCAAGTAAACAACACCAAGTGAATTCGTATCATATTCTGTTACTGAAAACTAACTGACTTGCTTTTAATCTTGTCTGAATTATATCAGTAAGTGAAAACTTCTCAGTTGATTGTTATCTACTAGATAAACATAATCTGTATAGTTGAAGATATGAACATTTTGCACTATTTGCGGAAAGTATAATATCGAATAGCGTGAACACTCCTTCTACTTAATTATATATGAATATTGGTTAGGAGTTAAATAACACAGTATATACAATTGGTTGATCTCTGGGTACTCCTTAGTGCAGATCGAATCCCATCAATCAAGTTGCAATGTAGCCACTAGTCTAGGTGACTCGACATTGAGTGCACTATGTTGAGATAAGATGGTGGTTGTAGGTAGTTAACAGGAAACCTTGGACCTAGGCTTCGTGCTACTTGGTATTCTTCAGCAAGGTGTAACTGCAATCTTGACGGAACTGATGCTAAATAGCACGAAACCTGGGTCCAGTGTTTCCTGATGACTAACTAAAACCACCGTCTTCTAACACAGTATATAGTTGACTCATATCAGTGAATGACTATAGCTAAGAATATATAGTCAACAATTAATAATGTCGAAATTCTAACTCTAAGAATCTGTTAATAGTAGGCTATGAAATGATTACTAAAACTATGTCATGCAGATCAATTAGTCGACATGTAGACATGGTTCCAATATATTATGATTAACTAATAACATAAACACGAATTTACAAATCAAATAAAAATGAGAAAAATCTTATGGTATAGTCCATTGTAAATAAGATTACTGTAGGTTGAATAGATTTTTGTCATTGGTAACATATGTTTTCTAAAAGTCTCAGGTCGAATCACCATATTCGATCATATTTAACAGTTGCTTGCAATTTAGAGAAACCGAAAATACTACTCACATTACAGAAAAATAATTATGAGTTTGGATAAATTTATTAAACTCATTCATTATATAGATTGTTTCAAGTTATATAGAATATTAATAGTTGAGATCATGAGTCAATCGAAGCTAGACCAACATGGAAAACCTGGAAGCGCTGAACGGCCGTTTCGTCATATTATGGGGACTCCACAGCAGTGCTCACCCACGATTTCGCCTCTCGAGATTCGAACCTAGAACCTATCGCTTAACCTCTAGACCGCTGGACTTGACGGCATCGAACGATGTTAATGTCTAATTTTAAATAATCTACGAAATTGAGCGAAACATCCACCATTGTCTTCAATGAGTTACTATCTCACAACAGACTCTGTTGCGCTCTACTAGTCACGGCGTAATTTCGTGGATTGATTAAAATTACACATTAACAGCGTTAGATACCGCCAAGTTCAATGGTCTAGAGATTAAGCGTTCACGCGGGTGACTAGTAGATCCTGAGTTCGAACCTCACGGGACAGGATCGTGAATGTGCACTTCTAAGAAGTCCCACAATAGAATAAAACATCCGTCTAGTACTTCCAAGTTTTTCATGATGATCTAACTTCAATTAACTCATGATTTCAACTATTAGAAATTACTATAATATCCCTAAAAACCCCTCTCTGTCTGATTTTTCTTATGTATGTTTTTTTTCCGACTTTCCCTTTATTTCATGAATAGTTCTTCTCTTTTTTTTTTCTTAATTCATCTACATAAACATATGGTTATCTGATTTTATATTTATCTCAGATACTATAATTATCATGATTATCTATATATAATAAATTAATTTATTTATTAACCAAAAGGCATCATTCTATGAAAATGCTACTTAAATATCTATATTCAGTAGAAGGAGGAAGGCGAAGTGTTCTTTTGTATGTTTATATTAGGTGTATGTTTAGTTATTTCACTTATCTATGTAATCATATATAGATAGTGCACTATCTAAATAAGTACTATATATTGCATACAATAAATTGTTCATATTAATGTGTACTTCAATTACTATTATTATTATTGTTTACTAATTGTACTACAATAGAAATATTCAATTATTTATTTATTTATTTATTTATTTATGTTAAGTTATTTGTCCATTTTTTTCTATCCTGGATACATTTTTGGGGGAGGGGGGAAATTGTAGACGACGGTGGAGTAACACCGTACCATGTATGTATGTATGTATGTATGTTTTGTGAAGATCTTATCTTAGAACAAAAGAAATGTAAAATCAATCCATTTTCTTTCACTAATTGCTTTCTTACCTTATATTGTTATCATCTAATATAAACAATAGTTTATGAAGTGAACATTATCGTTTGTGATGTATTGTTTGAGTTCAATAGACTAGATAATAGCACGCAATTACATGTCTATTCCTTGATTTATATATATATATATATATATATATATATGATGCTAGTACAAACAGCTGATTGGTTGAGAGGTAGACACAAAATGCACACACACACAAGGTCACATTATAGACAGACAGACATATACATAACTCTTTTCATTCCCCCCCATCTTTTATTGCTTTTCCAGATTTTCCCAAGTTTTTTATTTTTTTTTATTTTTTTAACCACATTTTACTTGATTATAAAAAAATTTTTTTAAACTGATAAATGTTTACATTATGTTATTCATGGATAAGTAAATTACATTTACCGCCCCCCCCGTTCCGCCCGCCCCCCACCACGTTTTTATTCTTTTGATTAATTCAAAGATGATAAATTCATTATTTATTTATTTACTGATAATAAGATAAATTGTACAATTTGGATTCAATGTGTAATTAGGTGTAGTAGTGTGATGTGTGCTACTTATATCGACATGAGTAGTAGTATATAACGATAATCAGGATTAGAATATCTGATAGAAGAGTGTCGAGTAGGAAAGAATGGGAACAGAAAGTAATTGATATAAAAATGCAAGAACAATGAAAGGGGAGGGGTTGGTATAGCTCAGTGGTAAAGTATTCGATTGTCCCCACTTGTTTTTTTCTTTCACTATAGTAGTAGTAGTCTGTCTGTTTGTATATATGTTAATGGATTTTTATAATCTATTCTAAAAGCATAGTAAATGTACTTATCAGAAGCCAAATTAATCAATATTATACAGGGTTTTAACACCAAAAAGAAATATATGAAAACTCAGTAGGACATTGGGCAATGTGTTACTAAGCAAATTGTCCACCTAGCTAGCGAGAAATCTCTCAATGTAATTTGAAAACGGTCACAAAACATATCGAAATTTATTGAGAATCACCTTAACAACTCTAGTTCATATATGTGGAAGAAGTTTATAATATCTCTGTTCTTTGTTTGACTAAAGAAAATTCAATAGACATGTTTATATGCTCTTTCTAGCCATTGTTAATCTCACTTCACTCCTTTCTTATTTAAACTGATTATTTACACATATCAATACTACTTAATTGAAGAATTCTCAATATTCATTATTTTAGTAATTTCTGTTTTCTCAAGTTCTTAATGTTAGTTGCTATGTAGAAATATGTATTCACGTTATTATTCTTATAATCATAACTACACCCGCCTTATTATCAGTTTGTATATTTTTCTTGTTATGATTAGTTACGTAATCCTTTGTCATTGTTATCATTAATCCATGAATCGTTTTGTTTAGTTTATGTTATGTTATTTATTTATTTAAACACATAAACATTGGTACAAGGAAGCATCAAACAGAAATGCGCCACATAAATCATTCAATTTATGTGAGGGCTGTAATACTGCCTGGGTACCCAAACCGAAACAAATGGTTTCCTTAGCCGGGGAATACTCGGAGCCTCTGACTTAAGGGTCTAATCCACAAGGAAGCGGAGCAACGTAAGGAGATGAAGTCCCATGGTAGCCGGTGACCAACAGTTGGTTCGTATGTCATTTGTTTCCTCAGGATCCCGGAGCCCATGTGCACCATTGGTTTGGAATCAGGGTTTTCCAACTCCCATAGATGTATCCTCCATGTCCACCAACCAGGCTAAAACGCCGAACATTCTCTTTTCGTCCTCTCAATCTCGTAAAGAACAGCTATGCCACGAGAAGGCAGTGAGTAGGACTTCCCTGTCAGTGGTCGTATGCACGTAGCCATGTGAAAGTATTTTGGAGAGGGAGAGCTGACTCTCCCCACTCTCAACCGTACTAGGGTATTCGGGTAAATGCTGATGAAAATTTAACTGAAAACAGTATTTT